CCCTCCCCTTCGCCCCCCCCACTCCCCACCCCAGCCGCGGCGGCTGCGCGCGCACCGGCGTGGTCGCCCCTCCGCTCGGGTTTGGGGAGGGGGTCTGTGCGCGGAGCTGCAAGGCCCAGTTGATCTCCGGCGCGGGGAGCGGGAAGGTCTGACCTGAAAGCTGTAGCCCGGGGTCCGGCATGCGACGACTTAAACGAAGTTGAGATTCCATTAAGGCTAGGTGAGGAGGTCAACCGAAAATGGCTGTTTTTCCAGGGCCTTGGGCTGTCGCGTGTGGAAACGGAGTCCCTGTTCTCAGACGGGTGGCTGGCAGGTGTCCCAGAGTCAGGAACCGGCGGCCGAGCAATCTGTGAAGCCACGTTGAACGTGGATTATTTTTTTTTTTCTCCTCGGTCCCGGGGCTGGAACTCAGGGTCCGGGCGCTACCCCTGAGCTGCTCGGTGCAAAATGCTAGCCCTTGAGCCCCTTCCGAGTAGTTGACTGGGGATAAGAGGCTCCCACGGACCCTTCTGCGCTGGCTGGCTTTGCATCATGATTCTCAGCCTCCTGAGTTAGGTTACAGGTGTGAGCCGCCGGCACCCGGCGGAAAACCGAAAAACAAAGTAGCTTTGTTGTAAAACGAAAGAAAAATGTATGAAGCTTGTAGGATACACGTGCTGGAGGAGATGGGGACTGTTCAAAAGTCTACCCTTCTGATACCTGATTGGAGAAGTTGGACGGTTCTCTGGGCCCAGCCTAATTTCCTTAGGAACCGTTCCTAGAATAGTTGGCATCAGATCTCAGAGCCGTGATAAGTGTTTTTAAAAATCTGTAATATTGCTATGAACTTGAAAACATTTTCAGAATAATTTGATGTCCAGGTTCACATGGTACTTCCTATTGGAAGATCACACTGAACATTTACCCATTGGGACAATACAGAAGTAATCAGAAAGGGAAATTAAAATTTCCTTAATTTTGCTGACTTAATTCAGTACTAAGAATTTACAGCAAAAGCTGGTTTATAGATCTTGAGAAAAGCAAGATCAGACAAGACCAGGCCCACACCCATTGGCATTCAATTGGTCTGCTTCTAAAGAGCCCAGCGTCGGTCTGACACTCTTCCTCACCCTGAGGTATTGAAGCACCCAGGACTAACCGCTGATTACCATCTGCATAGAACAGGTATTTGAACTTGGGGCTCCTGTTTCTGTAGTGTGACTTCTTTCCAACTCTCTTACTACTCACTCATCCATGCCAGTCAGCCATGACTTCATTATAAAAGGATTAAGCTACACACTTTATTTGAGTTTGGGGGTAAGAGTATTTTTAAGTAACATATTATGAAGAGTCATTGGAAAGCTGCCCAGGTGTGTAAATTCTAGAAAAACATGGGGAAAAACAGGGAATCATTAAAATTATTACTACTTCTTGGAGTACTAATGAATTTGAAGCAGAAGTGCTATTCTTATGTCATGTGTTTTACTAGTTCTACTATTTTGCATTTTCAGTTAAATCAAGGACAAGAATGGACAATGTATTAAATATTGGAAATGTTACCATGCTTTTATACTGAGATCTTTTTAACTTCATCGCAATGTTTTGGTTTGTACAGACTGTTTAAAATTCTTTGGGAGAATGTGCTTGAAGAGATTAGAACAACCCAAAGAAGAATCAACTGTTTTAATGTATTTTTGTTGCTGTTAACGTGCATTTGCAATCCTTGATTATTCAGTAGTGGATTAGCCAGTGACCAGTCTTTGACTTTACTCACTTCCTACCTGCCTTCAAAACTATTAGTATGGAGCTTAAGCTTTGAAAGGAGAGCAGTATTGACAGCTGCAGAAAGAACTTAGGTTTCTGTATGTATCTCATGTTACTTTCCAAAAGCAAATATAGAAAGTATACACATAGCTAGGTATCATCATACATTACACGTAACTTAGACCATACGTTACACTGCTGCCACTTGTACTGTGCTATTTAAATTACTTTCCAAATGTATTTCACTTAGCCAGGTTTTCTTCTCTTTTTGTTTCTTTCCTTTCCTTACACTGGAGTTTGAACTCAGATCCTTATCCTACCATTTGAGCCGCGTCCTCAGCCCTTTCTGTTTTTCTTGGTGCAGGGTTTTGGGGATGGGTGGTAGAGGAGGGCCTGGTACTGAGGTTTGAACTCAAGGCTTTGTGCTTGCTTACCTGTTACTTTACCGCAGAAGCCACACCTCCACGCCTTTTTTTTTTTTTTGGAAGAGAGTGTGGTCATGGGTCTTGAACTCTGGGCCTGGGCACTGTCCCTGAGCTCTTCAGCTCAAGGCTAGCACTGTACCACTTGAGCCACAGCACCACTTCTGGTTTTCTTAATAACAGATAAGAATCTCAGAGTTTCCTGGCCGGGCTGGCTTTGACCTGTGATGCTCAGATCTCATCCTCCTGAGTAGCCAGGGTGACAGGCGTGAGCCACCTTCGCCCAGCTTCTACACCTTTTATTATTTGTTCAGTTAGAGTCTTGGTTCTTCTACCACCACACGCCTGAATCACTACCTCCCTATTGGACATTTTCCTTAATTGCTTAGATGACAATATGCACCACTCTATAGGATTTGTTTTGCTGGTTAAGATGGCGGGCTTAATCTTCTTGCTCAGATTGGTTTGAACTTTAATCCTTCCAGATCTCAGCCTCCAAGGAGCTAGGTGTATAGGTGTGCCTGGTTATTTTAAACCTTTTAACTTAAAAAAATTAGAATAGAAACCCGATAATGTTAAATTTATTATCTTACATTTTAAAATAATTATTTTAAAGTCAGTACATTGGCTCTTAGTATATTCACAGAGTTGTACAACCATCACCACTGTGTAATTTCAGAGCATTGTTAGCTCAGAAGAAATCCCTTGCATAGCAGATACTTGCCAGCTTCCCCTCCTCCTGGCTTTCAGCAACCACTAGGTTTTTCTTTCTATAAAATTGCCTATTCTGGAAACATACAATATATGGCCTTTTCATTCATGTGGCATAGTGTTTTCAAAATGTATGTGTCAGTACTTCATCACTTTTTTTTTTTTTTTGGTTGTACGTGGGGAATGGAACTCAGGGCCTAGGCACTGTCTCTTAGCTTTTTTTTTTT